TTTGACATTAAGCGACCATTTTTATAGCATAGATTATTTCAAACAAATTCGCGTGGAGTTGATTACCTGTTTCATCTATTCCCCATGATTGACCTGTTTTTTTAAAGGTTACATATGCCGAAAGTATACATTTAAAAAAAATTCTCTGTATATATAGGAATGGAAGTTACTGCAAATCTGACATAATAAGCTAGAAAGAAACCCAATAAGCATTACACAAGTGTGAAATAAAATACACAACAAGCTAAAGGTGCTGATGCCATTCATGCGTCTTTTGAGTAGGCTAGTATCCACGACACATTTAATCGATCGTAAAAATCAGGTGTGCATATGCGCGCAAACTGCGCAATGCCAACTTTTTAGTGTATCACAACGATGTTGAGGTAACGCTTATGTGCTTGTGTTTTCGTCTGTCTGTCTATGTCCGTCCGTCTGTTCCATCGAGATCTCGGCCCCTGGGTCACCAAGAGACTTCAGATTTTCGCTAATTGATTGCTGCTATGGTCTATATTTGCCCATTACTCATCATTTACAATGTGTTACGCGGCAATACCCACGAGTGGGTTTTGAAACATTTTTTGGTAATAAAACCCGACACAATTTTTGTAGGTTGTACACAGGAAGATAAGATCTTCCAAATAACTCAATAAAAATTTCAGGTTACTATTTGAAAAAAAAGTTTGATGCCATTGCGGCGCTCCAAAATTTTTTTTCAAAAATCCAGCCCGTTATTTTTCTGTTCGGTATGCCTAATATACATATCCGAAATTTGAACAAAATCCGTCGAGCCGTTTTCTCAGAAAATTGCCACCAAACATACGTACGTACATACAGACGGAAAAAATAAGAAAGGTGCATTTTTTACGCATGCATTTTGTTTGCTTTTATTAGAGGGACCTACCATCCAATTTTCGTTAAAATTGCTCCATAAATAAGAAAGTTGGATGTTGCACATGCGCAACACGATTTTTGCGCATGCATTTTGTTTGCTTTTATTAGAGGGACCTACCATCCAATTTTCGTTAAAATTGCTCCATAAATAAGAAAGTTGGATGTTGCACATGCACAGCACTATTTTTTGCGCATGCATTTTGTTAGCTTTTATTAAAAGGACCTACCATCTAAATTTCGTTAAAATTGTTCCATAAATAAGAAAGTTGCATTTCTGCGCATGTGCAACACGATTTTTGCGCATGCATTTTGTTTGCTTTTATTAGAGGGACCTACCATCCAATTTTCGTTAAAATTTCTCCATAAATAAGAAAGTTGGATGTTGCACATGTGCAACTCGATTTTTTGCGCATGCATTTTGTTTTCTTTTATTAGGAGGACCTACCATCCAAATTTCGTTTTAATTGTTCCATAAATAAGAAAATTGCATTTCTGCGCATGCGCAACACGATTTTTGCGCATGAATTTTGTTTGCTTTTATTAAAGGGACTTACCATAGAAATTTCGTTTAAATTGCTTCAGAAAGAAGATCGTTGCGTTTTGCACATATGCAACACAATTTTTTGACTTTGACAATTTTTTTCTCCGTTTTTTGATAATATAACCCGGCCCAATTTTTTGTAGGTTGTACACAGGAAATAAGGTCTTCCAAATAATAGAATAAAAATTTTAGGTTGCTATTTGAAAAAAAAAGTTCGATGCCGTTACGGCGCTCCAAAATTTCTTTTCAAAAATCCGGCCCGTTATTTTTCTGTTCGGTATGCCTAAAACATATATACAAAATTTCAACAAAATCCGTCGAGCCGTTTTCTCAGAAAATTGCCAACAAACGTACGTACGTACATACAGACGGAAAAAATTTTTATTCTTTAAAAGTTGCTTAAAATGGTCTAAAACGTCGACATTTGATGAAATTTTGAAATGTTCAAAAAACGGCTATCGCAATAGCTACCTAGCACATGCTAGGAAGCTAAAAATTTCAGCGAATCTCTTGGTCTCTTTTGTTAACAAACACTTTTTCCCCAAACTGTGCAACTAGCGGCTCCTTAGATATGGCCTGTAGCCTTTCTTAGTAGGACATCCTGTACAGTATCATATTATATTACATATTAATATCGGTATCGATCGATCCCTAATATTTTTTATATAATTATATACAGGCTGGTTACTTGCGTAACGCATCAGGGATTTCAATGTAAAATTCATAACATGCCATTATTGGCTCCCCAAATTATTTTAGAGCAAAAATGTATATACAGAGTGGCCCAACGAGAAGTATACAGAGGGCTTTTAGGGTATTAAATTTAGAAATTTCGAAAAATCCTCGAACACGTCAATTTTGTATTCGAGGGGGACAACTTTTGGAATACAAATCACGAACCCAAGTCTTCACCCCTCTACGTAGGGAGCTTAACCCCTAAAATTTTAAATCGAATCCTATGGCAAATGACACATTATTTGAAAGCCAATTTAATCGTGATTACTAATCTGCTTTGCTTTTTAAATTCTATTGATTATTACGCAAAAAATTGAAAACTAATACGGTTGATTGGCGTAAAAAATTTTTTTCTACAAAAAACTTTAATACATTTTTGCTCTAAAATAATTTGGGGAGCCAATAATCGCATGTTATAAATTTTACATTGAAATACCTATGATGCGTTACACAAGTCACCACCCTGTATATATAATTATACATCGTATTTTTCTAAATTTTGAATAGGCATGTTTCTACCGTCAGCCATGTGTATCGATTGGTATCAGCTGCCTTCATTACTGTGGATACAATAAACAAACATCTCCATGAATCTAGGACCTCCAATTAAACAGTAAAAAAAAAGGTTTTCATGACTAAAATTAAAAAAAATATATAGGTTGTAACCAGGAAAAAGAATGAAAAACAATTTACATTAAAATATATAGGGTGTTGCATTTAAAAATACATACATTGGGGTCAAATCTTAGAAACTGTGGTTCAAAATATTTTTGACTACGCCACTGGATTCTTCGTAAAAATATCTAATAAAACAAATTTGCTGCCGTATTTGAATTGACATCCTTAACATCAAACCTGTCATTGCATTTTTTGTATTTACCTTGCCTCAAGTTACGGTTAATCTCATTTTAACGAACAAAATAGCGTTTTTGAAGATTTGAGCTATCAAAAGGTAGTGAGGTGATTGTAGAGTATCGAGTAGAGCACATTAAAACTTTCGTAGGACTTGTCACTTGATGAATGTAGCAGGAGCTTATTTTTTTCACCTAAAAAATGACCTGCCGATATTTTGTTCAAGCAAATTTGTTTTCGGCCAACGTATGTATTTTGTACTTGTCCTTTATAGATACAGGAAAAGATCTCGCAATAGTATTCTCAAGGAAAAGGAAATCATTACCTAACTGGAGACGAAGTTTCTTGTGATAAATTAGACAATACCGGAAAGAAAGAAGGTAGGAAGTTGTATTCCCTATGGCCGAAACTTGCATGTTGGACATACTGTAAGCAAAGTATGAAAAGAATGCATCTAAGCGTTTTACTGAACTCAAGACTGAACTGGACTGAAAGCGGATAAAACAAGTATGGCATTCTCTATACCATGCGATAGACCAACTTCAAGTACTTTTATCTGGTTGTACACTGTCATATTTATGAGCAGAATCAGGTTCTAAGGACAACCATTTGGTTTAAAACTAAAGAGTAGGACTTGAGGCAGTCTTGAAAGACAGCCGCTATTGCATTCTGAGAGAGGCAGTCAGGGAGTTAAGTGACTCCCCAAACAAGATGGGGGAGTAATAAGTATTACATTGAGACCTCGCCATTTTTTATGCACCCTTTTCATATCTAATCATCTTCACAGTTCACACATGGATTCTAAAACCCAGAAGGTACCTACAGACCACCACCAGACACCATTAGCCAACTAATCAGTTATGTATCTAAGCAGGGATGTAAGACTTCAAACTTGCTACAAAAAATATCAAACAGAGACACCCTTAAAATCGAATGAATCACGCAGCATACTGGCAACCACTTTGCCACTCAGAGGAAGTTCTCCCACCTCCAGTTTCAACTGTAAGTATTCTCAACTTAAAATCGAAAAACAATGTGTCTGAACTCTAAGCTTTCTAATACAATTTTCTAAGACTTTCCAAGATTTATAGAACAAGTCTATTCACGGAAAGATGAGCAACTACCACTTGACCACATACTATCATTTCTAGCACATTTTAAGATAGAGATATTATCGAAAATAGATTAAATATCATGATTGGTAATTACTACGCCGTAATGAAACTATGTCAAAGATCAAAGGGAAATTTATCACATACAAAAAAATGAATGAATAAATAAATAACATTGACAATATAAACAAATTATTTTTCATACCTGTAATAACCCTAGCAGTGGTTGTCGATTGCTGTGTTGTGGGGGAAATTGAAGAAGATGTGGATTTATCGGTGGATTTGTCCGTTACTGTGGTCGTCAAGGTGTTCGCAGGTGTAGAACTAGAAGTGATGCTAGTTTTTCCGTCTGGAGTTGTTACCGTTGCCTTAAGTTCTTCACCTGAAATTGATGAGAATTATTATTACTAAACTAACAAAGCAAGCACTTACCCTCAATCTTAACAATCAAAGCTAAAAGTATTACTAAGCAACTATGTTTAATGAGATACATTTTGATAGAAAGTTTAACGTAAGCAACCACAATTTAAACTATCAACCTTTAGCAATCAACTAACTGAAATTGTTTAAGTTAATTGACTATAATTACAAAAAACATGTAATCAAAGCTGGGAAGGGAGCCGAAAAAGATAGATTGCGCTGACTGATAGCCGACAACCGCGAATGACAATTGACACAAGCACAATTTACTAAAATAACCTTGCAATAAGAAAAACCCTAAACGAAATTCAAAATTTCAAAACATGGTCATTTATTTTCGATGGATCCCAAGAGTCAAAGAGTGTACATACTCCTGCTTTAATTTTAACACGTTGCTAAGGCTACATACAAGTATTTCCTACACAAAAATAATGCAATTTTGGTAACACAGGTTTGTCACATGAAACTATTTTTCTTTCAAATGTTGGTACTGAAATATACAGTGTGATCGGTGAACACCAACCTGGAAATTCAAGAAAGGTAAAGTTATACAACCAATCATACGTTCATGTTTCGAACACACACATTTTATTTATTACAGCGTTGTTGGATGTCCATCGGCGGTGTTTAGGTATATGATTATTGATCCTCAATTAAGAATCCGCCATAGTTTTCGACGCAAAGCGGGCTTGTTTGTAGCATGATTTGTTAGCAGTGGTCATGGAATTACATGTCTTGTGCAATGCCGGGAACACCATAGACATTATGTCGAGTATTATTCCGAATAATTTTCTCATATGTCTATGCGGAACACGGGTCCGGGTTGAGAACAGTTTAGTTGCCTCTAAACTCTTTTGATTGTCAAACATTTGCAAGAAGTATTTTTTATTGTTACCTTTGTAAGAAAGGTATATTTTTGCGGTTCTCAAACTGCACCATAATGAACTACAAAGAGGTAATGGTTGAAATGTGTAACGAGAATACGTTTTCAATGATCGAATATTTGGAACTAGTAGAACTTCGACTTAAAAAAAGGGTGAAGATATTAACAGTTTTTGGTGCGACAAGTGGTTAGCTGATTTTAGTAATAAAACAAACACTAAACCATATCCATGCTCTGAATCGCAGTATATAATGTATTATTAAATTGCGCATAAGGTGAAGTCATAGTATACTGCGAATCAGACCAGAGCTGCTCTGAATAATAGTACAGAATGCCAATACGCGAACCGGCACAGGAACGCTTAAAAAATAATTCTGCCTAGGTAGTGCGCAACCGAAACCTATACAGGGTGAAAATGAAACTGAACTGATAAATCCTTTAAGAGTTTTGGCACATGATGAAATGAACTAAAATATTTTCAATATGGCGCCACTTCCGCAAATACCGGAGGTAGCCATCAACTTTGTTATTTAAAATAAGGACCCCCTATTTTTCTATATTTTCGGATTCTACGTCGAATTTGGAGTACAACGATACCCCATAGTTGACCCTTTGCTCCAAGGACTTCGTCGATATTCAAGTTTTTATGTCAAAAATTGAATTTGCAGGGGTAATTTTAAAAATTTATTATTCGAAAACGGTGAGAGATACTGCAAAACAGTTTTCACTGCTTTATTAAGGAATGATCGAATTTTCTTTTGGTATGCGTAACCGTCTAAAAAGTGCGACTACGTCACTTTTTCAAAGCTCTCAACTTTTAAATGTTTAAATATCCGTAACTCCATTTTTTCAAATGGCACCCATTTTTTTCTTCACTGTTGTTTTCCTTTTTCCGAGACCTTTAATTTGATACAAAATGTCAAAGGCTGTTACATATAAACGGTTTCAGAGATGATGCTTGCATGTGTAAACCTTGCTTTACTGGTCATAATAATTTGTAATATTGGAATATAGTGTAGACACATCCTACTCTTTCACTTCTTTCATAAGACGTTTCTTTTAGAAACAACACACCCCCAATTTGTTGTTACTGAAATGACAAGTTTTAAACATATATTATAAAATATATAGTTTCAAATAATAAATATGGCAACAACAGACGAAAGAACAGTTTTTGCTAAATTAGAAGCTATTAAAGAGATCAGGTATATCAGTCGTCATAGCAGCATAACATGTACCATTTTAAAATCAATACTTTAGGGCGAAAACTATTCAGTTGGAAAAACTCAAGACTAGAATTCTTCTTGAGGTAGAAGCTTTAGATCAAGAAGAAAAATGTCTATCAGAATACAAACAAGAGATGGATTTGCTGCTCCAAGAAAAAATGTCGCATGTCGAAGAATTACGACAGATTCATGCAGACATAAATGCGGTGAGTATTTGCGACAGTATTTTGATTGGTGTTTACATTTTAAATGCAGATGGAAGGTGTTATAAAACATGCAGAAGAAAGTCGTGGTCGATCTTTAGCCACCGCCGCCAGAGTTCATGAAGAGTATCTTCCATTAAAATCGGAAGTGGATCGGTTAAGACGAGATTGTTTAGGTTTGGATAGATTACCCGAACTTCACGAAGAGGAGGCAACGTTAGTTACACCCGAGTATGTGTTATTTGCCATATATTTAGAGAAATGTAACGTTACACCTTTCAGGCGATTTGCACAATTTTTCTCGCCAAGCAAATCGAATTCTCAAAATTTTGCAAAAAGTAATGAATGGACACGTCCTTTAGCTCCAACAGACAACCATATGAGCGCTTTAGCTCCTCCATTACCACCCACATTTTTACCACCACCCAATCCCTTAAGACTGGTAGCGAATAAACCTGAGGCAGGGCGTCCAAGTAGCTTAGCCCAACCTCCACATCCAGGACCACCTACGCCTACCTTCAGGTCGGATTTTGTTAGCTTGAGGTGCTTTTGTTTGTTTTCGTTTAATCGCTAAAATTTGTATTTTTACTGTGGTGACGGATCCTAATATTGATAATTATTTTTTTCATTAGGCAACAACCGCCACCAATGAAATCATGTTTGAGTTGCCATCAACAAATACATCGAAATGCGCCAATTTGTCCACTGTGTAAGGCAAAATCAAGGTCAAGAAATCCCAAAAAGCCAAAGAAGAAAGAACATTAAAAGTTTGGTTTGACCAATATTAATGTACTCGATACTGACTAAAAACTGTTCGTTCAATTCCTAAATAGACCAATCATAAACACTTGCCTGGTGCATTTTGCTTTTGCTGGGACAAATGCAACAGTGCACTCGAGTTCATTTTAGAATTGGAAGAATACAATTAGAGCGTGAAATTTTATTCAATAATTTAAGTAATGCAGAATATATACAGTGCATTTATCTCACATTGGAACATATACGATTACATGCAATGGTGTTTTCCTATGTTCCATTTAAAACATTGGATAATGTGCGAGTCACAACTCGACCAGCCTTTAATTATTTTCAGGTTATGTAGGACACTGCACCTCACGCAAAACACAACAAACAAATAGCAACAGACTATAAGCCAATCAGAACACTCATTCCGTTTGAATTTATGTCATTATAAATAAAATGGCAGCTAATTGTAAGGCAATAGCAGGCTAATTGCACCACTATCAAATATAATTCTAAGTTCATAACATCACAAATCAACACCTCATACGTACTTGTTTTATTTTAGATTAACAAAGAGAAAATAATAAATAGAGAATACGCGTGCGCGCCTCTTCTAATGTCATTGGTTCGCAATATGAATAAGGAATAAAAATTCGACTGAACGAAATTATTATTTCTTATTTGCTAGGCTTATTTCATATTTCAATGTTGTGTGCAAATCCATAAAGATCAGTAGATTGAAAATTGTTATTTCTTATTCCTTATTTGTTATTTCATTGTGTGATGGGCTTAAGAAATAAAGAGAGATGCCTTGATGCTTATCATAACGTGCCATCATCTCGTCATGTTTGTACACATTGCAAGAAGCGAACTTGTCACATTTTGCGAGACGATGTTTAAAGGAATATTAATAATACATATTATATTTGAAACAATCTAAATGGATTTTTAAATATTTATAAGGGTTGTGAAAAACAAACAATTATAAATTTCAATTAAACAGTTTAATAAGAAAATTTATGATAATTAGTAGGCACTTTCTTTCGGTGATCCAAACGTGTTTGGATTGTCAAATCACGTTCTTTCGAGGTGTGATCTTATGATCATGATTGCTAAAATCGTGAACACTGAACATAAAAGTTTTATGATCACGAATTCCTAACCTATAAATGCAAGGATATTTTTGCTCAAATGTTAGGTTAGTCAATATTTGTAACTGAAGAGAAGCATAATCGCGCAAGTACTTCCACTTTGTATTTAAATTATTTTCATAATCCAAACAAACAATACGTAATTCGAATGCTAGTGTACTTGCATGCAAAATCGTATGTTGCAGTTTAAGATAAACGCACTGTATAAACTATTTATTCATTTTATGTTTACATAATTCATTATGTTAATTTAAAGCTTTTTTATACACTGGATAGAATTTTTTTTCTAAGTAATTTTGTAGGTAACTCAACTAATTGTCTGTAGATTAATAATAAAATAAATGAAAGTTTGTGTCATAAACTTATGACAAATTTTTTAATAGTTTGTCCTTTAATGATAATTATTTTACTAACTGACAGCTGTAATTTGTTACTTATTGGTTTACTTAATAAGTTTTCATTGGTTCAACTATACCATTACCAATAGAAAGTCTATGGTGTGTGGCGGTTTAAATAGTGGACCCCCTCTTCCTCCCCTATAGGTAACATTTATGTATAAAGATTTGCGGGATCATTAGATAGTAATCCTGCGGGATCCCGTCAAATTTTAAAAACGTTCGGAAATAAGCAATTTTGTGCAGTTAACGGAATATTCTCAAGAAAACACATTTTATTTCGCGGAAACAATGCAACACATCAACTGCCGTCTTTTCTTGTCGCCGCGCCGGTGCGTAATCTTTTATGGCCCCTCCATGTCTATCTGGATTGCTAGAAAATTCGCTGCAATATTTCCATACAGCCCCTTTACTACCTACTAAATTCTTTTATAAACAATCGACGGGTCCGACATATTGTCTACAAGAATAACAGTTCCTGCGTTTTAAAACAGTATAAATAAGTCTGATTTGCGTACTCATCTCGCTGTTTAACAAAGTTAATAATAGATACAGGTTTGCGCGTAATTATTGCATGAACTGCAACAACAAAAATGTTCGAAGTAATCAAATTCGCATTGTTAATGTATGATGCGGTAAGCTTGGTCGATAAATTCTGCAATCCCCCAAATCCCGCGGGATCCTGCTCCATTTACGTACGGGATTAATCCCACAAAAGGACTGCGGGATCCCGCGATCCGGGTATTAGCATTCCCTAGTCCTCACATATTAGCTTCTCCTTTGCGCAGCATAGCATCGTGTTGCAGACAGAGATGTTAGTCATACTACACCTCCGTAAGTATACCTATATAGGTACGTATATATGCAATGTGGAATATAGGGCGAGCAACGAAAAGGCGAACGAGTTCACTCGAAAAGGTAGTATAGGCCTTGGTCTGGCGAGCTAGGGATTACCCCCTCCGTTGTCAATGGCAGGATTTAAAAACTGCGGGCTCAATGACAACGAACAATTTAACTCAGATAGCCACAGATGGAGCCTTTTCTTATCAAGACCCCTGCGCAAATAGGGGTTCATAAAAGTTTCCAAAACCGAATAGAGGCCCGATTAGGCAGATCATCGGGGTTCCCACGGGTCACTGATATAGATATGGTCAACTATTAATCATATATGCACCAGGTTAGGCTTGTAGGGGAGCCCAAATGCAGGTTCTATGGTCTGGCAGATGAAACTACATCAGCTCCTTCCAACAGTTTTGGAACCGCGGAAAGCGGAGCTAAACAGGGTGCATGCTGTCCAATATTGAGAGGAACAGACTCGTTAAACCCAGATGGAAAGAGTTAAGGGTCGGGTATAGACACAAAAAGAGCCTTTTTGGTGTGTGTACATATAGTCGGGAACCCATCATTGTGAATAGAATAGATTTAATTGAAAAATGTATATGGCACATACCTATATTTAATCGCTTTCTTCAGGTATGAGGGAAGGCAAGATGAAAGTGTTCTCCATGTTCGAAACTAAGTATACTTGCCACTTTTCAATGCCATATATTTATATCTAAACGCATAGCAATACAGCGGCGGATTGCTCTGTATGGTGGAAGTGCGGGCGCTGGTGAGGGTTGCAGTGAAACCAACTTTCCACAAAAAACGGAGCTCGTACTGCTGTTGATATAGCTCTGGAGTCCACATCACAAAGCCTCAGCCTCAAGATGATGAACTCAAGTCAACAAAAGCATCATCACTTGTGAATGATTTCATGTGATTGCAAGAATTAGGGACTTGTGGGACCATGTGGAGTTGCAAGGACACGCGTGAACTGCTCTTTTAATCTGCAGCCACTGTAGAAAGCCTTGGACGTATGACGTTTGACATACCGCATTATACTTTTTAGCGCATTTCCACAATAAAAAAATGCGCTATTGTGGCCACTTTGTCCGTCCGTCCGTCCGCTCGTTTTGAGACACTACTAGTTTTTTATCTTAAGAGCTATTGTTCTACTTTTTTCGCTATTTGGTTCGTTATGGTGTCGAGTCTTGTACAATACCAAGGAAGGAATTTTTTCTGTACCGCTTACAAAAAAAGTTATTGTAAAAAAACAAAAAACCGTTTTTTTACATGTTCCATAATTTTACACTTTTGCCGTTTATTAACGATGCTAGAGATCGTATATAATTTTGCATTGCTGTCTGTCGTCTGCCTGTTGGTCTGTCCGTTTGTTCCTTTGTCTGTCTGTCCCTCTACCTGTCCGTGTGAACGATAAGTTTGTTTAGAAATGTCCGATCGCTTTTACATCTCTGTTAGTTATGAACTGAATTGCATGAAATTCAATATGGGCATAGCTTTAGCCATACAATGAGCAATGCCAAAAGTTGAGTCGAATCCATTCAAAATTCACAGTGCCCTTTTCGCATCTCGACCATTTATAAACCGAATTGCAAACTTTTTTAATTATAAAAGTATTTAAATGAAATTTGATACATAGCCACTTGGAATAAATGCAAATTTAACGTCAGTGTCAAAATTTGGTTTTGCGCATGCGCAGTGCCAACTTTCTTATTTATGGAGGGATTTAAATGAAATTTGATAAATAGCCACTTGAAATAATAGTATATTATATACCGAGGGACTGAAGTAGTACTTTTAATCTCGAAGGTAAAGTTTATGGCCCGACCGAAGGGAGGGCCATAATTTACCTGAGGGATTAAGACCACTACTTCAGTCGCAAGGTATATACGATATTTTTCGTACTTCCGAAACTGAAACACTTAATATGTATTGAGTTAGAGAACGCGTTCTTTCAAAACATCGCTGCTTAACAAGTTACCATAGGCACGTTGCGTTGGTACGACAATCCCTATGCTATGGTAACAAAAATAATTTGGAAACTGTCATTGCTAGTGTCATAATTTTGGTGGTGGGTGACAAAAGTGCATTTGATATTGATAAAAAGTAGCCAAACTAGGTAAAGAATTGATACCACCGAAATCCAAAAAACTATATGAGCAGCAGTACGATGCGTTTAAGAAGTAGTGCCGCATACAAATTGTGGAACAACCTACTGAAATTGCTTGTTAATAATTTCATCCTTCCGGGATGTTCGTCCAAATTTAATCCCGGCGGGACAAAAAGTGACACTTCAGTAGGTATTTGTCATAATGGAGTGAAGTTGTCACTTTAGTCTTGGAAGTACGAAAAAGCAAATGTTTACGCCAGTTTCAAAATTTGGTTTTGCGGATGCGCAGTGTCAACTTTTTTATTTATGAAAGCATTTAAATGAAATTTGATACATATAGCCACTTGGAACAAAGGAAAATCTAACTTTAGCTTCAAAATTTAGGTTTGCGCATGCGCAGTTCCAACTTTCTTATGTAGAAAAGCATTGAAATGAAACTCTTCTTATAAACTGAAATTGAAGTAGCACGTCAAAAATGGATTGCACATGTGTAACGCTATCTTTCATATTTGTGGCCGGATTTTTACAATTTTAACAAAAGTTGCATTTTACAAATAGGAAATGAATGCAAGTGGAAATGCGCTTTATGTAAATCGTTTACGATTACTTTTTAACTTGTTAAAAATATGTTTACTTATATATAGGTAGTCTTTATATATTCATAGACTTATTTGTGCATTTCCCTCTTCCAAGTTCAGCAATGTTTTTTTTCGCCACGTTGATCACACATATAGACTACATAGCTACATACCATCCTGGGTCTTCCCAAAAAAATTTCCTTTCATTTTTCGAAATTTACCTCAAAAGTTAATTTGTTTATTAGTGGTTTTCAATTACTACTGTGTTCTTTGTTTCTTCTTTTCAACAGAATGTTTTGGTTTATCATTTTTCACCTTTTAGAATAATATTTAAGTATTAGTTTTTACTGAGAGTTTTTAAAGTTAAAACAGTATTGCAGTATCGGTATTTTAGAAACTACTTAGATTTAAGCAAAGTTAGTTCTATTCAAGCGCATCCTAAAAACATAGTTTCGTAAAATGTGGTATTTCAAACTGCAAAAAAGGATCCTCCCCTTTTAGTCGATAAGGTAACTGGACAAATACTAACAAAGCAAAATATAATAGTTAATATCCAGTTATTTTAATTTAACGCTACACCTTGCCATAAGTTTTTGATAAAAATTACTGCAATAAAAAATTATTATATTCAGTAGCCAAAAAACCAAAGCAACAACTACCACTTTCTCCCATCTTTGAGATGGGAGAAAGTGGTAAACTAACTAAACTACCATTGAATGGATTGTTACCATATAGGCACGGAGCTCACAACGTGATGTGTAGTAAATAAAGTAAAACGATTCAATTATTTTTTAATGTTTCAGCTGAATTACAGAGGACATAATGGACGAATATTAGGTCTAATTACTGACAATGGTTGCATTTAAAAGTGTGCACAATGTTCATTAAGCTAGGTGTTGCAAAAAGCTAATTTCGATAAATGGTAATATCACAACTGGTTTTCAATTAAAACTTAATCCAAAATTGGAGAATAAATT